CCTGATCAACATGGTGAAACCCTGTCTTAAGAAAAGAAAAAAAACAACTCATAACTGTACATTTCAATAAATTTGACTTTAAAATGAAAACAATCCCATTTGAGAAGAAACATGTCAATAGAGGTTAGGCAATGTGTGGGAAAGAGTTTTCTTAGGCAAAAGACTAAGATAGAATTCTTTACTCTTAAAAATATACCTTGAGCCTGGGCAATATAGGGAGACACTCTCTCTACAAAAAAGAACCTATACAGATTAGTAAGTGAATGAATGAAGAGATTTCCTGTCACTCAATACACTTCAGGAGGGGAGAATTTAAGAGAGGGGAGGAAGAAGCCTGCTCATGTTTCTGACACTGGATGCCTCTTAAGGGCATGGAGATGGGCAGATAATTGGCCAGGTGTGGCTTTGTGACTCTGGTTTCCCTGGATTAAACAGTAACGCTTTCCAAGTCTCCCTGCCTTGGAAATAGCGACTTGTCTGCCTAAATCTTAAGGGGGCCTGGGGGAAGTGATGACTTAAGATTTAAGTGCAGTAGCATGATCTCGGCTCACTGCGACCGCCACCCCCCCCTCCCGCCCCAGGTTCAAGGGATTCTCCTGCCTCAGCCTCCCGAGTGGCTGGGATTATAGGCATGCACCACTACCACACCTGGCTAATTTTGTATTTTTAGTAGAGACGGGTTTCTCCGTGTTGGTGAGGCTGGTCTTGAAGTCCCTATTCTTGAAGAACCTATTCAGCTCTCTCTGGGAAGGCTGGAAGAAGCCAGCCTCAGATACAGTGGCATGTACGCTGTCAAGTTTGCACAAACGTATCTGAGTGGCAGGGTAAGTCCTCATTGTTTACCTTTGGAAACACTGGATGTTTCAGCCCCTCTGAAGAACTACTGTGTAGAGGAAACAATCCTATTTTCATAATGTACTGTCTGTGCAGCTTTGAGGGGTTATTCCTTACTGTTTCAACACAGTGACCCTCATTGGATTCTGGAGAAAATTAAGTAAGTGAACATACCGGATTGTACGTGTAAGGACAACTGCAGTGTTTGGCACAGGAGTTACTCACATGACTTCTTTCTCTCTGATAGAAACTTCATACTTCACTTCATGCCTTGGTTTCTAGGAAGCCAGAGGAACTCAGTGTTTATTCATTTGATTTATGAAGTAATTTCCTTTAATCTAGGTTTTCTCGTATTGTTATTCTGCTTTTCAATTTCCAGTTCTCCCCTTGATTTAGGTCTGACGCAAAGTCCTTTTTTATCTTCAGATCTTGATGGACACGGGTCCTGAGAATTTGAAGTTTCTGGTTCTCATTCCTTCTGGTTTGACTGCTTCAGGAAGTGAATGGGCTTAACAGTAAGCCAGACGAGGACTTCAGTGAAGAACAATGTTCAAGGCATGCCTTCAAGGCTGTGACTGTTCAGTGGTAAGGAATGGGCCCCAGTTGGGTCTTTAAAGAATTAGCCTGCTGAAAGAGGTGGTGCCAAGAAGGGAAGCCAGTGTTTTTTATTTGCTTGTTTTTTGTTTTTGAGACAGAGTCTCAATGTACTCCCATGCTGGAGTGCAGTAGCATGATCTCGGCTCACTGCAAACTCCCTGTCCCTGGTTCAAGTGATTTTCCTGCCTCAGCCTCCCAAATAGCTGGGATTACAGGTGCCTGCCACCACACCCAGATAATTTTTATATTTTTAGTAGAGATGGGGTTTCACTATGTTGGCCAGGCTGGTCTCAAACTCCTGGCCTCGAGTGATCCACCCACCTTGGCCTCCCAAAGTGTTGGGATTATAGGCATGAGCCACCATGCCTGGCCAAGTCATTGAATACTTTCTGTGCCTTGAGGAAAAAAGATTAAGGCCCCATCCCTTCCCTCAAGTTCACTGTCTAAGACCAGCAACTACCCCAAAACATGATGTAGCCAGAATCTCCGAAGGAAATTACCTGCATAACCTGAGAGCCACTGGGAAGACTAGTGAGGAAGAGGCTGGGATGATGATTAAGCCCTAAGACATTGGTAGGAGCACATGCTGAGAACACCGGCCCTTGTAGCTTCTGAAAGAAGTAGAGCGATCAACTGTCCCAGTTTGCCCTACCAACTCCTCGTTTTAACAGTGAAAGTCCTGTGTTCCAAAAGATTCCTTAGTCAGGGGAAAACTGGGATGGGTGGTCACCCTAAGAAGAAAGGACACTGACTAGTTTCTTTGGAGGAAGGAGGGCATTGAGGTCACTGGACTCAGTGCTGAGGCATCATTCATTTCCCTTTGGTGTGTGAGAGGGAATGATGATCTTCACATGCTTTTTGATCCAGCCCTGAGGAACTGCAATCAGGTTTCTTGAGATGTGGGAGGCTGATACAAGGATTTATAATCCTGGGACTGCCGTAAGAGGATGTTGTAAGGAGTGGCAGTGGTGGAGAAAGAGCCTGGAAAGCAGCCCAGCCCAGAATCTGAGAAGTAGCAGCTGGGTCAGATCAAGGCTAAGGCTACCAGGTAATGCAACACACAGCAGCAGTGGCCTCTGAATCAACAACAATGGACTACTCCGAAGAAAGGAAATCAGTACATCGAAGAGCTGTTTGCATTCCCATGTTTATTGCAGCACTATTCACAATAACCCAGATTTGGAAGTAACCTATGTGTTCATTTCTGCTGTTCATTTCAACAGATGAAATGGATAAATAAGGCCAGCGCCATGGCTCACACCTGTAAATCCGGCACTTTGGGAGGCCGAGGTAGGCGGATCACGAGGTCAAGAGATCTCACGACTATCCTGGCCAACATGGTGAAACCCTATCTCTACCAAAAATACAAAAATTAGCTGGGCGTGGTGGTAATCCCAGCTACTCGGGAGGCTGAGGCAGGAGAATCACTTGAACCTGGGAGGCGGAGGTTGCAGTGAGCTGAGATTGCACCACTGCACTCCAGCCTGGTGACAGAGCAAGACTCTGTCTCCAAAAAATAAAAAATAAAAAATAAAATGGGTAAAGAAAATATGGTACTTACACATAATGGAGTACTATTCAGCCATAAGAAAAATGAGATCCTGTCATTTCCAACAACATGGATGAACTGGAAGTCATTAGTGAAATAAGCCAGGCACAGAAAGACAAACTTCACATGTTCTCAGTTATTTGTGGAAGCTACAAATTAAAATAATTGAACTCATGGAGATAGAGGGCAGAAGAATGGTTACGAGGGGCTGGGAAGGGGAGTCGGGGCAGGTAGGGCTAAGGGGCACTGGGGATAGCTAATAGGCACACACACACAAAAAAAATAGAAAGAATGAATAAGATCTAGTATTTGACAGCATGACAGGATGTCTATAGTTAAAAAATCACATTACATTTTTAAAAATTTCAATGGCTTTTGGGGTACAAGTGGTTTTGGGTTACACAGATGAATTATATAGTAGTAAATTCTGACATTTTAGTGCACCAGTCACCTGAATAGTGTACACTGTACCCAGTAGGGAGCTTCTTATCACACACCCATCTTACCCTCCCCTTTCTGGGTCTCCAAAGTCTGTTATGTCACTTTGTGTGCCTTTGTGTGCTTAGCTCACACTTCTTTGGTTTGCCATTCCTGAGTTAATTCACTTAGGATAATAGCCTCCAGCTCCATCCAAGTTGCTGCAAGACATTACTTCATTCTTTTTTATGGCTGAGTAGTATTCCGTGGTGTATATATACCACATTTTCTTTTTTTTTTTTT